ACTTGTCTTTTTTCCCTTCGCCCTCTCTCTTGTCAGAGGTCTTCTTGCCAATAGGTTCATTTTTGGCCTTCTCCACCGAGATCATCTTGCCATGGAGCTCCGTTTTATGGAGGTGGCTGATGCACTTCATGGCCTCCTCTGCAGTGGACATGGTAACAAAGCCATAACAGCGAGCTCCAGGACTCCGAGCATTTGTCACAACCTTGGCTCCCACCACCTTTCCATATTTGCTGAAAAGATTCTTCAAATCTGTAGCTCTGGTGGTAGAAGACAGTCCACTGACCCAGAAATTTCTACCACAACTGCTGCGGCCCTTTTCATCTTTGGAAAGTCGTTTTGTATCAGAGTCCTCTTCCCTAGAACTCATTTTCTGATCAGTGCCCTCACTGGCTGAGGACTCTTTAGGAGCTGGAGGAACTTCATTACAAGCTTCAAAATCAAACTTCTTCACGTCTTCTTTGCTATCTCTGGACTCAGGGCTTGAGGCTTCCTGTGGCGCCTCTGTGGTCACCTCCTCCCTGGAGGCGAACGCGTCTTCTGGGCCTTTACTACTCTGCTCAACTGGCTTCTCTAGCCCCGCGGGCTCAGAGTCCGCGCTCTCGCCATCGCCTGTCGGCTCCTCGACAGGCTCCTCGGGTTCCCTTTTCACTACTGCTAATAGGGTGTCTGCCTTGCTCCACTGAGCGTGTGTTGACTCACTGGCCAAATCTAAATCGCCCTCCTCCTGCTCCTCGACCGCTTGGGCGCTGTCAAAAAGGTCCTCTTCCTCAGCAAGCTTGCTGTCTGGCCCCACGCTACTTGTATCCTGTGCCAATGGCTGCTCCAGCTCAGAACCTTCTTCTTTTACTGGCTCAGATTTACAAGTTTTCCCCAAAATGTCGAGTATTTTCTCATTTTCTGGCTCCAGGGACGGCTCCTCAATTTCCTCTAATATAGTGAAATCAGATGATGAAATATCTGAATTATTTATAGTGTCTTTGTCCTCCATCTCAGCATGCTCGTGGAACGTCTCTGGAAGCTCCTTCATCTCCCCCTCCACCAGCTCTCTGTCAGATAAGGACTCCTGCAGATTGTCAGTGTCCTGGTCCTCCACACAATCTGCAACGCTCCCATTATCTATCTCTGCTTCATCTGAAACACTGATATCCGTCATGTCCATGCCCTGCAAGTTCTCCAAACTTGTTTCAACGTCATCCTGTCCATCTCCAGAATTTCCCTCCAACCCATTATCTTCTGCACCCTCCTCTTCTGGTTTACGCCCTTTGCTGGATCTCTTTGCTGTTTTCCTGTTTCCTTCAGAGGTAATTTCAATTTCATCAGGATTACCCCCCTCGCCTTCAATTACCTTCTTCAGGCGCTCCACCAAAACGCTCTTGTTGCCGCTAGAATCGAGATTACGTTTCTTCAGCTCCTCACTCAGGTCGATCACCCGCAGATCGCTCAGGCCGCGTGTCCCAGTCTCCGACGAGGCGGAACTCAGAGCCGCTGCGCCCGACGCACCCGAATCGCCTAGGCCTGAGAGAGTCTCCGCCATTCCAGGGACTCAGGCTCCACCGCCCACTTCACACAGAACCCGGCCGGTCGCACCTCGGCTCTTAGCACAAAATGGCGCCGCTAGAGAATGAACTGCTCCAGCAGCCAAGCGTGCCTCCCTTCTAAACAGGCGCAGGCGGGGCGGGGCGGAGGCGGTAGGTCGCCTCTGCGCATGCGCGGTGGGCGGGGCCGTGTGCGCAAGCGCTTACTGCGTGGGCGCCTCCCACCGTGCACTTCTGGGAGACATGCGTGCTGCGGTTACGGCGCATGCACGCTGCCGCCGCGGAGCATGCGGTGGGCGGACATGCGAACGCAGGCAGGATGACATTTTCTACGACTTCATCTTATTTTAATCTATAATCAAAAACCGTGACACCAGCCATCTAGAGGGTTAGGTTAGGTTAGGTTAGGTTAGGTTAGGTTAGGTTAGGTTAGGTTAGTGGACTTAAAGAAGAAATCAGAGAGAATGAGAGAAAGCTTAATGCAGCTTTATTAAAGGGGGGTGGGGGTGGAAGGGGAGCTCCCGGGTGAGTTCCTCATCCTGGAGAGGCAGAATGG